CGGGGCTGCCTGCCCGCTTGGAGCGGAGAGCTGGCACAGGAGCTGGGCAACGCCTGCTGCCAGCTTCTGCAGAAACAGCCATGGTTTTAGTCTCATTCGTCAAATCCCCAAACGACCGAGGCACTGTACTTCAATTCTTCCCTAATAACTGACATAAACCTTCTTGTGATGCCAGCACGGTCACTGTAACGGTTAAGCATCATGGGGAAAAAAATCATGGAGACAATATGCATCTTGTGTTTAGACTTCCCTATCTGCTTAGTTTGAGGCATATAAAAATGTGGCTTTTAGGGTAGGTTCTCCTCTCTGGAGTAGCCTGTCGTATATTCTGTTGCAAACTCATTGGCTTTTTTCTCTCCGTCTTGCAATGTTTTCTTCCTCTTCTCACTAGACCTAAAAATTCAAAACAGCCAGAGCGGGAAGAGAAACGAGTCCTCGGTCTTGTGTTGCTGCGAGGAGAAAACCTGGTGTCCATGACAGTTGAAGGACCACCTCCAAAAGACGTAAGGAGAATGAGCACAGAACTAAGGAGAAAAGGAAGGGGCGTCCGATAAATTTGCTTCCTTGCAGGAGAATGCTACTGCAGTATTGTCCTAGACTTCCAGGAGCTGTTCTGACTAGGTCCAATAAATTTCACTGCAGGAAGTTCAAATCTCTTTGTGGGCTTGGACATCAATTGGACAGAGGGCGGCTGTGGGCATCCCTAGGATCTGAGGACTTTCACTTTGATAAATCTTCCTTTGCGGGGGGTGTGGGGGTGTGATGTGTGTCTATTTTCAGACTGGAATTGCCCGCGTACCTCTTGCTGGAGCAGCTGGAGGACCTGGAGTTGGGAGAGCAGCAGGGAGGGGAGTACCAGCTGGTGCACCCATGCCACAGGCTCCAGCAGGATTAGCTGGCCCTGTCAGAGGAGTGGGAGGACCGTCCCAGCAGGTGAGACGCTGTGACCCATTAAAAAAGAGTTGGCTGGTATATTCTGGAGTGGCTTTTAATTCTTGGTACCAATGCGATGCAAGAAATTGGTGAAGAACTGTAATCTTAGTTTCTGTTACCAGGGAGTTTGAGCCTAGCGAGGCTTTTTTGGTACTAGATCCCCCTTGGAACTCTCTCTTACATGATGGAAGAAGAGGCTTGAAAAGTGCAGCTTCTTGCACAGAATTCAAGTGGTATCCATTGAATTGTATTACAGATTTGTAGCATTATTTAATATGTTAAGAGGAGACTGGCGTAATTTTCTGAAGAGATAATAATTTAAATCTTGCTTATTTTTTAGTTATTAATGTAAAGCAGATGTGCTGTTTCTCTGTGAACCTGTTTATTTTGTTTACAGGTGATGACACCTCAGGGTCGTGGAACAGTTGCAGCTGCTGCTGCAGCAGCCACTGCTAGCATAGCAGGAGCCCCAACTCAATACACGCCAGGGCGGGGGGGTCCTCCCCCACCCATGAGCAGAGGAGCACCTCCTCCAGGTAGGAATTACTCTATGGAGTGGGGCAGCAAGGAGCTCATGTTATGTGGCAAAATTAGTGATAAAGAGGTATTTATCCAAGTCTGATGAAGACCTAGTATTATGGAGGATTATTCCGATATTTAGCTGGTGCCTTGAGTATTCAGCTGGATTTATATGCTTGTTCTTCTCTGGCTTAAGGAATGATGGGACCTCCTCCAGGCATGAGACCACCTATGGGCCCACCAATGGGAATGCCACCTGGCCGAGGTGCTCCTATGGGAATGCCCCCACCAGGCATGAGACCACCACCCCCAGGAATGAGAGGTGAGCAGAAGTGATCTTAGATGCCTAGAAGCTGCAAGAAGCTGTAACATGAATAAAATGTTTGAAGGGTGGTACGTTTCAATGCCTCCCTAGCTATGCTAGTTGTCAGTAAATGCCTCAGTGCCAAAAAAGAGGTCCCAAGGCCACTTCGAACATGGCAAAAACGTCTTTCTGGTTTAGCCTTGCTTCTTCTTTCCTCTTCAATATTCAACTCTTTTTCCTTTATTCCCAGGACCCCCTCCACCTGGCATGCGTCCACCAAGGCCATAAGATATTCTATAATGTACCTTTGAACTGTGAGAAGACTGATTAAAGGAATATACCGAGCAGTAGCCCCGCCAAAACTTTGCTATGTATATTTTATATTACTGCTTGTAAAGTTTGCCCTTTTTAATAAAGTTGGAAAACCCAGTACTCTGCGTCACTGTTGTACTGGCCTATTTCAGGAGTGCACCTGTTGCCTTTCACTATTGCACTTTGGTCACCCCAGACGAAGAGCAGCTTTGAAGCAAAAAGCTCAGTTTGTATTGACAGCTTAGAAGTTAACAGTTGGTCTGTTAAGTGGCCCAGACCAACTGGTTAAGTCTATATTGGTCTCTGTTCCTTATAGGAATTTAAGTATATCGATGAAATTTAGCAAGGCTGATGAAAAAAAATTTGTTGATATGGTGGAGATAGTAAAATTCGAAGAGTTTAACATTTCGATGAAATTAAGTATGGGTTACTGATCAGAATTCTCCCTGCTTTATTCACAGTGGAACAAGTACAATGGTGCCTGTATTAGGAATAGTGATCTCTGATGTTCTGCATTAAGCTACTGCTTATGAGCCTGTAAAAAAAAAAAAAAAAGCCAGGACGAGCAAACCTATCGTTAATTGCATACAATAATGTCAAACAGCCTGCATTCTGGTTGTAGTCCTCCCTTCTTGCCTCAGCTTACAGCTGCTTGCTTTTCAGTTAGGACGAAGCCATCTGCCCCCCTGCCTTTGGAGATAATCCTTTCTTCAGAGTGGCCTCTTGGAGACTTGTTTTAATTCCTGTGACTGTTATCTCTGAAGCCATCCTTGTGGCAGGTAGCCTGAAAACTTTATCCCTTCTATCTCAACCATAGAAATCCTTTTCAGCCACATTAATTAATCGAGATCACAGAAGTATATGAACAAAGCAATAAGCGTTCTCCAGTTTTTGCCCTGAAGACAACTTGGCTTACATGAACTAAAAGTCTGATAGAAAGATGTAACCTATCCCAGCTCTCAGTTGCTCTAGCTATCCTATAAAACAGAGCAAACTTTTTAGAAAAAAAAATAAATCAATCCTTTATTGCATGGGCTGCTGAAGAAGTTTTCACACAGGGTCTTCAACCAGGTATTAACAAACATCACAAAGCTGTTCCAGAACTTGAAGAAAAACTATTCAGTTTTACTGAAGTTGTCTCCTCACGGTACAAAGAAATCCAGGCCCTGGAGAGCGTGTCTGAAACGTCTGCACTGTCCAAATTACCCATTTGGTAATTACCAACAGTTCTTACTTTCTCCTGTACCTGAAAGAGAAGATATTTGAAATGACATTCCACCAGCCCAACTCCTAATGATAGATGAGGAGTAGCACTGAGCATTTTCTAGGCAATGCTCTCTGAAGTAGAAGCCTAGAAATGTGCTATTAAAGGCAGCATCCTTGATTGCCCCCAGCATCAGACCTGCAGTAGGAGGGTAAGCTACTGCAGAACCAACAAACCTTTTAGCAAGGGCCTTTAAACAATCACAAAACGAGAAAAGATAAAGCAGGAAAAAAAAAAGCTTTAATAAGAAAGTAAAGGGAGCTATACCTGGACTTGGATTTGAAGTTTCCTCCTTTCCTATGTTGGGCCATACCCAAGCGTTTTCGATCTTCAAATGATGGGCTTTTTAAGAGAGGGGAGGGGGGAAGTAAGACAAAAACCACTGAAGCACTTCAATAGCACAGGTACTTCTTGCAAGAATCCCTTCTCTGCTCTGCCCACCTTTTCTCCCAATATCAGTCAAAGTATCCCTGAGTAAGTCCAGAGATGCAAAAAAAAAAAAAAAATCCCACCTACTAAAGTCTGGACTAATGTACTACTGCTAAGACATTACCCGGCACGGTACTGCTTCAGAGCCTTCCTGCTTGTGTTGGTAAGCTCTTCGTCAAACACAGACAGTTTTTTCTTCCGCTTGGGGCCTAACACAGAGACAATAGTCAGAACATTGGCTGTAAAGAGAAGGCCACAGCATCATCTGGTTTACTAGAGCCTAGCAGCCTTGACCACAACGATTAGCCTAACCATCAGGAAAAGCAATGACTCCTCTCTGCAAACATGCACCCTGGCCAGCACCAGTGGCCATTCCTTCAAAGATCAGTGCCTCCCTCCATACAAATTAGTTTAGTTTACCTATTTGTAACAAAGTAAAACAAGAGTCTCCACCTGCTGGTACTGCTGCTGGTTCCTCTTCTGGCAAGACTCTGGCTCGCTTTGCTCGGCGATTCCTTTTTGCCAGCCGCTCGGCATACATTTGAGATTTCAAGATTTCAAACTGTGACCTCTCCTCTGGCTGAAAGGTGTTAAAATGCAAGTTTACAGTGATGTGAGGTTTTGCTAAGGGAAAACTAGGATAGTCCACCCAGGGTCCCACTTGTCCATATATGTACTCACTGTCATTTGGGCTTTTTTCTGTCTGTCCTGCATAAATTTCTTCCTCTTCTTTTTGCCTCGTAATGCTAAGTCAAACTCCTGCAGGGCTTTAGCCACTGGAGAGACAAAGAAAAGCACAGAATAAAGAACCTCTTAAAGTACAGAGCAGAGTCCAGTTGCCGCTATGGAATTTAACATGGCAGCAGTGTCATGACTCACATTTCTCTTTCTTCCTCTCCTCACGGGTCTGGAACCAGCTCCGCTCCAAACCCTCACCCACAGTCTCTTGTTTTCCTGTCTCCAGCTGCTTCTTTGCCCTATTGATCTGGCATAATTCAGGCAAGAAGTGAGTTCGTGGTGGCTAAAAATTCTCTCTCTCTTCCCTTTCTAAAGTAGGCAGGTTAAGTACATTAGGGTAACCTCCTTATGCACTACATCTACTCCAGATCCTAAAAAAACTAAGGTAAAAAAAAAAAATTCCTTAAAAAACCCCTTACTTGGGCCTCTGACTGCTGCATCTCACGTTCCTCACGCTCCAAGCACAGAACTGCATACACGTCTTTCTCTAGATTCTCAATCTTCTCTCGAAATTTTAGTATGACATCTGAAAACGATACAGTGTGAACATCAGAAGCAGCTCATGTAAAGTCCATCTTGTTTTTCAGTACCTCTTTCAGTGTCCCTCTGTACCTTGATATTCCCTGCCTACTGCTCTCCTGTTTTTTACCTCAGTGAAGTGCGTACCTTGGGGGAGAATTCTGGCTTTCACTGGTGTTTTGGCAGTCTTCACAATATCCTTCAGCATCTTGCGCTCTTCCTCACCCACAAGTGAAACTGAACGACCAGCCCTGCCTGCTCTTGCTGTCCGACCCACTCGATGAACATAGTGTTTGGTGGTGTTGGGCATGGTAAAATTGATTACCTATAACAGAAAAGCTGTTAGTAGAGAAACAATATTAAAGGACTCATTAAAAAGCTCAGCACTGCAAATACTCACTGTTTTAACACCTTCAATATCAAGTCCACGTGCAGCCACATCTGTAGCTACCAGAATATCAATCTGCTCATCCTTAAAGCGCCTGAGCAGAGATAGCAAATACATTAGCAATGAATACAGTAATCCACTTCTACCCTAAAACTTCCAGCTTCTAACTTCTTTTTTGCCTACAATTGCCAACTAAGCCTGCTAATACCTGAGTGCTTCCAGCCGCTGTGCCTGAGAAAGGTTCCCATGAAGCTCCCCAACCCGTAGACCCATCAGCCCAAGTAGGATGTGCATACGGTGAGCTTGCTTCTTAGTCTGGGTGAAAAGCATCACATGATCTGGGAAGGTTCGTGTCAGTAGAGCTGAAAGAAAGTCCTCTCAGTAGCCTGCTTCATAGCCATCTACCAACTCCAGCTTTTCTTTGCTCATCGCTAACCTGATACAATGGCCTCACGGTCCCCCTCTCGGTTGGGTCTGATCCGGATAAATTCCTGCCGCAGGAAAGGGGCAACATCTGTGTTGCTGTTCACAAAAATTCGGACAGGATTTTTCAGGGAAACAGAAGCCAAATCTTTCACCTACCAAAACAGGTTAAGGAAAAAAAAAGTCCACATAATCTCTGGTAAAAGACTAGACAAACTTCTATTCAACTTTCTGCCTCAATATGCTTCTCAGCAGCCTGTCCTACCTCCTCTGTCATTGTGGCAGAGAAAAGCATTGTCTGACGGTGGTTGGAGCACAACCTGATTATTTCCTTCATCTGTTCCTCAAAGTATTCATCCAGCATCCTACACAGGAGAAAAACAGCAAGGTAAGGCAGCTTAATCTGGTTCTAGCTAAGAAACATTACTTAAGGCAGGGCAACGAAGCCTGCCCTATAGTCTGGGAAAAGGAAAGCAGAAAACTACCATCTCATTTTCCCTGCTGTCCTGCTTAGCCTACCTGTCCGCTTCATCCAAAATCAGCACCTCAACACTGCTCAGGTGGAAAGAAGGGCAATTGTGGAGATGATCAATCAGTCGCCCAGGAGTGGCGATAAGAATGTCTGGCCCAGAGCGCAGAGCTGCTTCCTGAGTCTTCACGTCTAGGCCACCTGAAAGAGAGCAAACATGGACTGCTGACTCCCTGAGCAGATTGCAGCAGAGTACCAAATTGCCTGAGGAATGGGAAACAACTCAGATTAACACCACATTCACAATTAGAAGTGACCCCCACCTTTTTCTTTCTCAGAAACCAACAAACAATAAGTACGGCACAGTATTGGAAAGTGAGATTTTAAACCATAGCACACCTACTAGAAGCATGCCTGCAATAACTGTACAGCCTCCCGTTTTATAACACAGAATTCCCAGTTCTGTATAACGGTTTACAGCGAGCAGTACAGTTCACATAAGTTAACTTCATACTCACCTACAGCAAGGCAAGTTGTGACACTGCTGAACTGTGCCAGCTGTTTTGTGACAGAGTGCACCTGAATACCCAGTTCTCGTGTTGGCACTAGAACCAATACCCGTGTTATTGGAGCCTGACGAGGTTTGTAAATCAGGCGCTCAAGGACAGGCAAGATGAAGGCAGCTGTTTTACCTAAAGAAGAAAATTAAGAAGAATTACCAAGAATTACCAATTATTGTGAATAGCCAATTCTCCATTCGCTGTGCCTGCTCAACCCCCTACCTGTCCCAGTGGCAGCACAGGCACAAATATCCTTCCCCAGAAGACCCACCGGGATACAAGCCTTCTGAATTGGGGTTGGTTGCTTGAAGCCAAGAGCTGTGATTGCCT